CTAAGCCCCGCCTCTCTTGCTAGGCCCCGCCCCTCCTGGCCCCGCCCTGCCCTGGCCAGGGTCTGTTGCTGCCTGTTCGCTGTGGCCATTTCCTGTCCAACCTTCGGAGCAACAGGTTAGTGCGGTGGGGTGGTCCCGGGGTCTTCCCTGACCCACTCCTGAACTGGCCAGCAGAGATCTGAGCAGAGGACGCTGGCTTGGTCCTCAGCCGATGGGAAAGTATGGACTACCTGCTGGAACCCCCTTGGGACCGGTGGACGCGGTGGAGCGGTTGCCAAGGCAACGGTGCGGCCTGCCCCTCCCCTCTGCTCAGGGCAGGAAGTTGCCTCTGGGACCTGCGCGTGGCTGCCTGGGGCTTGTGGTTTTGTAGGCGGCGGGAGGGGCGGACGCGGAGGGGGTGCTGCTGTGGGAATCTTGGCGTCTCGGGGCGCCCTGTGCACCACCCTGCCCTGTCATTCGCTGCAGTGCTCAGGCTCGGTGCAGCCTGGAGCCCTGCCCTGGGAATTGAGGCGCTGACCCTGAGCTTTCTGTCTGGCCCCTGAGCAAGTTGATTTTCCCTTCACTCGGCCTCAGGTCGGTGGGCGTTTGAAATGGTTAGGTTGGGAAGAGCCCTATGGATCACACAAGAGGCCTGCACGGCTCCACCTGCGCTAGCGATAAGACCGCCGCCCCTTCACCACTCGCCCGATGCCCGACGCTCCCCATTTGACCCCCAGGATAGCCCTCCCTCCAGCTAGGCAATGCTGTAACACAGATGGGAACTGGGGCGCGCAGAGAGGTGGTTATAACATTAGCAGGCGTAATGGAGGAGATTGGAACACCAGGACTCAGGTGAAATCACTCACAGGGTGTTTCTAACAGGGATGAAAGACTGACACATATCCAATCCCGGGTTTAGATGTGTTACACTATCACAAAGGAGTCCTGGGCGGTTCGGTTGTAAAGCACTGGACTGCTAACTAAAAGGTAGAAGGTTTCGAACTCAGCTGCACAAAGTCCTGGCGATCTGTCTCTCTCAAAGTTCCTGTGCCCAGGAAACTTCGGGACCAGCCCCATGCTGCCCTGTGGGGCCGCTGGGAGTTGGAACCCGAGGCACACAGACTAGCTTAGTGTGCTCCCAGCCTCGCTGTGAATGAGAAGCACTTGGAACGTGTTAAAAAGACGCTTTCTTGGGTACCAGCTGGCCCTGCTAACTGAGAATCTCTGAGGCTAAACCCAAGGAATTTATCTTTAGCAAATTCCTGTTGATTTTTATGGTCTGTGGACGTTTAGAAGCGCTGGTGGTGCTATCCTATAATCATTGGACTGCTGCCGAAAAATCAACAATTCAAACTTACCAGTCACTAGAAGAGAGAAAGGTCAGGCTGTCTGCTCCCATAAAGATTTACAAAGCGCGAGAAAACCCTATGTAGGATTGCAGTGATTTGGAATCAGCCAGATAGCAGTGGAGTTGTAGCAGCCTTGGGGGCCTTGTGGGCTGCAAACCACAAAGTCAGCAGTTCAAACCCACCAATTGCTCTGTGGGGGACAGATGAGGCTTTCTGTTCCTGTAAATGTAGAGCCTCGGAAACCCAATGGGGTAGTTCCAATCTGCCTATCTAGTCTATGCAAGCATCCGAATGGACTCAATGGCAGTGAATAGTAGGAGTAGTAACCATAAGGTTGACAGTTCAAACCCACCAAGCGCTCCAAGGGAGAAAACTTAAGAGCCTTGAAACCTGTGAGTTGGAAAGGCCTCGGTGGAAGTGTTGGTGGAGATGCACTTTGGGGAGGGCGGTGCACCGTACTGTCTTTTTGTTGAAAAGCAATGTGACACGATGGGTCTAAAGGCACCTGGAGAGAAGAGGCTGGAGTGTGCTGACATCAAGATCTCACCCCCGTGGCCACTCCCCAAAGACACTAGCCAGAGGCTTACCCTTCAAACAAGGGCAGGCATGCTGTCCCCGATGCAGTTGTCACACAGTCAGGTCCTGGCTTCGGACTGGTGGGCCAGCAGGAGGAGGCCTGTCTTGATCAAAGCTGGGTGTTGGCGCCCTCCTCCGTTCCCTGTGGACTGTCGGCTGCTCTCCCAGACTCCTTCATGCTCGGCCTCTGAGTCACCGAGGGCCATGCTGGCTTGGGGTGGGGGGTGTTCTGCAGGCTGGTGGTCTCATGAGCATCCCGGTGAATGAGTGTCCCTTGGCCGCATAAACAGCAGCGGAGGGGAAATAGATCACCCTGCTGTGACGCATGGCATTTATAAACAGAAATCCTTCTTTAAAATGTTCACTCGGCTCTTCATTTCAGAAAGCTCATAAGCCTGACAAATTATGTGTCGTGTTTCATGGTTCTTTTCTCTCCCTCAGGGGTTCTGGTCGACAATGGCTGAGGAGCGAGAGAAAGACTTGCAGAAATTTCTTAAAGATGTGGATGAAATCAGTAAGTGCCAGCAAATCATAAATGCTGCTTTTGGGGGGGGGAGGGTGAGGGCGCATGTGACAAAAGAGAAATGATTACTGTCAGTTCGTTCCTGGGTTGCCTGACAGGTTTATGATTCTTGAGGGGGAAAAAATGTAATTGAAATTAAACGGAAAAGGGATTGAGAAACAAGTAATAATATAGCCAGAGGGCAGTCTTTTCCGGCTATTATTTGGTATCAGAGAAGCTGTTAACAGTGTGATCGGAATCCAGGATGACAGCTCTCCTCCTGTGCTTTGCCTCCTTCCGGGCGGAACTTGGTCAGAAGGAGCTATTTCTCCATCACCATCACCCTTTCAGCCAGTCTGACCCCCTGCTGAGATGCCACCTTTCCACCCCAGATAGACTGAATCAGAACCTACCCAGTGGCTTCCAGACGTTTGTGGAGAAATGGAGTGAAAATATAATGGATTCACCACCACCACCACCATCCCCAAGAACTTTAAGACATGTGAAGCCCCTGCCCACATCCTAACAAGATCACCAGGTACACCATAGTGAGCGAGCCTTACACAGCAAACACATGTTTGGAAATTGCTACTTTCAGGAGATTGTATGGGCCCCCAAACAAATGGTTCAAGAAAGCTTGGATGACTTCATACGTGATACACCTAGTGGGTTATTTGTGTTCCTCACAGACCCTCCTCCTATCATCCCTGATTCTGCTCTTCTGGAAGGTTCTGGCCAAGGTTTGGGTTATCTAGCCCACGCTGTGGTTTCCACAATTGCCTATTATCTGATGACGCTGAATCTAAATCACCAGCATTACTTCTTTCTAAACCTCTGGCCAATTTAAAGAATCCTCACTTGTGCAGGGGTTAAGCAATGGCCTGCTAACCAAAAGATCAGCTATTCAAACTCAGCAGGGACCCCAGGAGAAAAGATGAGGTGGCTCGCTCCCATGATGACTTACAGGCTCAGAAACCCTTTGGAGCTCTTCGACTCGGCCCCGGGCGGTGCCTGTGAGTCAGAATGGACTTGGTTGGCATGGCCAGCATTCATCCCCACCACGTCCCACAAACACTTCAAACTTCATGCATCCAAAATGTAACTGATCGCTTTTCTACCCTTTCTCTTCATCTCTGCACCTCAAAAAAAGACCCAATTCTCAGGGGTTTTTTGTTTTGTTTTGCTTTGTTTTAAGTTGTAAAACCCACTGCTATCAAGTTTATTGCACATCACCGTGAGCAGCCCTATTGGACACAGTAGAACTCTTAGCGTTCCTGTGGCTGAGAATCTTTATGTATGCAGACTGCCTCACCTTTCAGTGAACATACTGTGTTAGGCTGAGTTGTCTAAAAACATAAATCCAGTGACACTCATTATGTATAAGAAAAAACTCTATATCAAGAAGGAATCATATACCCAAAAGGCATCCCAGCTCAACCTCATGAAGAGATCACTGAAGATATGGGTGCTATAGCAAACTGTGGTGAAGAAACTAGATGGTGCCTGGCTATCGGAAAGAATAGCGCCTGGGGTCTTAAAAGCTTGTCTTTAACCAAGCAGCCTTCTGAGTGAGGCACCAATCAACTAAGTCCACATGGTAGAAGCACACTGGCCCGTGTGATCCGCGGTTGGCAAATAATATCCAGAGCTAAAGGAGGGAATGGTATCAGTTTAAATTGTGAACACCTGGTTTTCAGAAGGCTATGGGTGGTAGTGGAAGCCCAGATTACATTTTCAGGGACCGCACCTGGATTAACCCTCCAGTGATTCCCCTCCAGTCATGGTTGAGGGATGTAACAGCCCTGCTATCAGACAGAGAGCATTGTAAAGTCGATTATGGCAGAGGCAGTTAGGTCAAAATGTAATATCATTGGATCTCCCTTCTGACTCATTTTAACTGTTTCAAAATGTTTTTTTTAAGTGACGGGGAAATACGCATGGATTAAGGCCCTCGGATCAGGGTGTGAATTGCCTTGCTATCCCGCAGAATGCATTAGAAAGTGGATTGTTGCAGATGCAGTTAGATTAAAAGTTAGCGCCCTATCATCTGATCTCCCCTATGATCCATTTAAATTTGTTCGAGTTCTTAATATTTTCTGCTTTCTCTTTGACTGAGGTTTTTATCTGTTTTATTATTATTATTGGTCTCTTTTAATGTTTTCTGTGTCTAAAATTCAGAGTAGATAAATCTATAGAGTCAGTAACTGTGTTAATGGTTCCGTGGGGGTATGGCGGGGAGATTTGGGGAAACGGGGAGCTCATAACAATGAATACACCAATGAAGAAAATGTCCTAAACTAATTGTGGTGAAAATTGTGCAAATGTTCTTGCTTGAGCTACTGAGTTGTACGATGGGTGAATCCTATGCCAAGAAAACTGCCAAGAAAAAAGGAGGCGTCCCAGCCCAGCCCTGCTCAAGTCCTTACGTCTGAGGCGAATCCATACGCCTCTCTTCAGACGCACGCAGTCACATGCCAGTGACGCAGAATGGTGAACTGGGAAGCAGAAAGATCACAGGCCAGTGGGTGCAGGGTCCAAGGTCGGTGAACACGTGTCAGGCACCGGCAGCTGTCAGGTGGCCCACGGGAGGCCACCCCTCAAGGCAGGCAGCGTTCCAGCACAGCGGGCAGGAAGGCGGAGGGGCAGAGAGAGAGACAGTGCCCCGTCCCTCACTCTAAACAAAAGGCCACACCCCTAGGAGGTGTCATCCAACCAGCACTTAATTGACAGGTTTGATTTGGCCCCTAACCAGAAGTGCCCGGTTGATAGGAAATCATCCAGCTGCAACCCCCTGCCCAGTGCTTACCCCACTGTGCCACCAGGGCGCCTCCCAGCATCTCATACTTTCCCCTGTGTTCTCATGGTACCCCACCTTGGTTACCTCCCGTCCCTCAGCGAGCCAGCCAATCAGCCCTCGAGTTTTTGCTTTGTCTTCAACTCCATCCTCTCCCCCTTTCCCTTCCTTCGGGGTCTTCCCACCCCGCCTGTTTCCACAATCCCTCATTGCTTTTCCTGCTTCTAGGCTTCAGCCCCCCACAGAGTTATGTACCCTATAAAGTAAATCCAACCCAGACAACTTCCCTGCTTGGATTCGTTCTGGCCTCACCTTGAATCCCAAATTCCCGTCAGGACTGAAATCCTCCCCTGACCTTGACCTGACCAAGCCTTGACAAAGTGCTTGCAGTTCCCCCCACATTCTCTGATGGTTCAGCCTCTGCCTCCTCGCGGTACTTTCAGGACCCGCCTAGCGTTTATGTATATTATTGGTGGGAGTGGGGGAGAACCACAACCCACCTTCAAATATATGTGTGGCAGCCCTCCACGAAAGCTTCCACGGGTCCTTAACAGTGTCTTGAAGAGGGGACGATCGGCAAGAGGCCTTGCTGGTCGCTGAAGGGTTCTCAGCCGCCTGGCCCCTTAGGGAGCACCTGGAACAAGGTGGGATTGTCTCATCGTCAGTCACCCATGGGCCTACAGAAGGGAGAAACGGGCCCCGGTTGGGAGGCAGACATTTTTGCAGATAACACGTTTGCAGGGTTGATTCTGAGGCCTCAAATCTTCTTCATTAACCACGTGACCCCAGGACCCCAGTTTTGATCTCTCAAGGGCAGACTCAGGCAACCCCGTCTCTGAGGCGGACCCAAGGACTGCAGCAAACACGCTGCTCACAATCCTGATCTGCCGGATCTGTGTGGAGACTCAAAATGGATTTAGGGTTCCCACTGGAAACCATCGTTTTTCCTCAAGCCCAATGCACAGAATCCGAGCTCTGCTGGAACACTCAGAGCCCCTGTAGACAGCCTCCAGGCCGGCACTGTCCCACGGAATGTTCTGTGACCCTGGGCACGTCTGCACTGTCCACGAGGGTGACCAACAGCCATGGGACTAGTGAGCTTTTGATATGTGACCCGTGTTACTGAGGTGTTGAATTTAAATTTGATTTCATTTCCGGTTCATTTGAAACTTGTCTCTTGGGCTCCTGCTGTGGGTTTGTGGTGGGTGGGTACAAAGAGGGCCCTACTGCCCTGTCACAGATTCCAGGAGGAACCAGGTGGATTCAAAGGATTCTAAATTTGACTTTCACGGGCCTACAAAAGGAGAGAGATCGGGACCTTTGCTGTTTTCCTTTGTTCTCACAGCATGTATACAAGCTGCGTGGAACAGACTCTTTCAGACAGACACAAATCTCAGCAGGACAGACAAAAGCCGGGAAGACAAAGTTTTGTTTTAATAAAGATTGTATATGTGCTACAGAGATCTGCATTTCTAGAGACGCTAAATCTGGAGGAGACGAGCGGGGAATGCAGGGGCTGGCTCTTAATGAGGGGGAAAGAAGCCTGGGGAAGATTCATAACACTCAGATACGAACTGCATCTTTGACTTAACTGGTATCCTGGAGAATTCGTGCCTGGACACAATCACAGCATTCTGAGACCGGCTTAAGGGGGTTCAACTTGGGGTCACAGCTATGGAAGAATTCCAGCTACGCTGCACTAATATAAATAAGTGATTGAATAAATAAATACATAAATACAACAAGTCTCTCAGGCAGAAGAATTCCAAATAATATGTATGGAGGTATTTCCCCCTTGTGTTAGGCCGGCTTGTCTAGAGAAACAAAACCAGTGATATAGATATATGTATATATGCATATATACATATAAAGAGCTTTATATCAAGAAGTAGTTTGATATCAAGAAGGCAACCCAGCCCAGTCCAGCTCCAGCCCATGGGTCCAGTGCTAGCCAGGGCCCCCTGGAGACTCCCGTAGCTGCAGCTGATGGAGCAGCGAGGTGACGGGGGATGTAGGAGATCACAGACCACCTGTGCAGTGTTGTGTGGACCCAAGGCTGGTGGAACAGGGCTGGGCCCGGGCAGCTCTCAGGGTCAAGGGGCCCACACGAAGCCTCCCCTGGAGGCAGGCACCAAGACCCAGCAAGCAGGCGGGCACAGGGACAGGCATCCAGGAGGAGTCTCCAGCGTCTCTCTTGTGAAAGAGCCACACTTCCCAG